TCTGTCTGTCTGTCTGTCTGTCTTTTCTCCTTTTTGAGACAGGGTTTCACTGTACAGTTCAGACTGGCATTGAGCTCACTTTATAGCCCAAGCTGGACTCAAACTCACAGCCATCCTGCCTGAGCCTCCTGAGTGCTGGGATTACAGACATGTACTACCATGTTTGGCTGAGGCTCTTTTTCTTTGTCAGCTTTGTTCCAGGTCCACTGGGATAGATTTAGGCCCCTTGTATGTAAGGAAGCCAGTGGGATAGATTTAGGCCCCTTGTATGTAAGGAAGCCAGTAGGCCAGTTGTATGTAAGGAAGACATTGTTTCTTCAACAGGGTTTTGTTTTGTATACCTATAATAGACCAGATATTGTCTATTAGGGTTAGGTAAGAAAGCAAGTAGACGTGGTTTTTTGTTTTTGTTTTCAGTTGATACTCCAGAAAGGGATTGATGCCCTATAGCTAGTTGGTGGCTGTCCGTTGTGGAGGGAAGGTCAGGGGTGGCTTCCTGAAAGCCAAAGCTGCGATCTGAGGGATGAACATAGCCAGTTGAACAGGGTGTGTAGTATTCCAAAGTTGGTTTGGAGATGGTCAAGAGAGAAGGTAGCAAGACTTTGTGCTGACGTCTCTTTATGTACTCCTTCATGGTTAGGTCTCAACCTAGATGGACTTAGACTACTAGATCGTAGACTTATTGAGCCCTTTCTTTTCTTCTAGCTTTTTCTTCATAGTGTTTTTGGCTACCGGGGTGTTGTCCTGTTTCCCTGGCAGGCCAGACTGTATGATCGGGATGTGGCTTCTGCAGCTTCAGAAAAGTAAGTCCTTCTCCTTAGGCTCACAGTGTCCTCAGGAGGCAGCCCAGCTCATCACAGTTATATGTAATTACTGTCTCAGGGTTAAAGGCAGCATCCTGGGCCTTTGAAACATCCCCAGAGTATTTCTCTGGCACTGACACCATGTAGACAAAGTTGCTGAGTGCTAGAGACAGTCTTAAGGCAGAGGGTCCCTTTAGGTCTCCCCAGTGTGCTTTCTCACACTACTCTTCACTTTTATTAAGTGCCCCAGTGGCTCTGAGGGGCTAGTCATCCTGGTTTCTTGAGGTTTAGTTGGAATCATTCTCTTAATCTCACATCACTAGACTATATTAAAAAAGAAAAGGAACAGCTCAATTCCATGGCTGGAATGTGAGAGGGGTAGTGTACATGGTGTCCTGGGGAGTGAGATGGCAATTGGATTTTCTCAGCGTGGCCCTCTTCCATGAGGCATCTAGAGTTAGGCAAACAGTGGCTGCATGGGCTCCCTAGCCTCCACTGTTTGCCCTGATGAGCACTAGTTAGGCTAGGGTTGTCAATCAGGAGCCCAGTGATGTTAAAGCACCAGGCAGCAGCCTGTGTAGGTGAAGGCATGGTGGGGAGCTGAGTAAGGCACAGGTTCCACTTCTTTCAGGATGATGTTGGATTTCTCTCAATCCACAGAACAGAGAATCCTGCTGGCCACGGCTCTAAGGAGGTGAAAGGCAAAACTCACACTTACTATCAGGTGCTGATTGATGCCCGAGACTGCCCACATATAGTAAGTAAGCAAGATAGCTGGGCCTGGGGGTTCTCTTCATGGCAGTGGGGTCAAAGGGAGGGGGAGGGGGCTCAAACAGCCCAGATTAGTCCTGGGTCCCAGGGTTTTAGTAGCCAAGAAAGCCCCTGATATTCTTTGTATCTTAGTCTCAGAGATCTCAGACAGAAGCTGTGACCTTCTTGGCTAACCATGATGACAGCCGGGCCCTCTATGCCATTCCTGGTGAGGAGTTAGCATCTGAGTGATGCCTTTGAAGAAGAGGACTGTGTGTCCCTGAGAGAGGATTCTGATGTTCTATCCTTTGCAGGGAGGGGTTTTGTGTGTTGTTGGGGTCACCCATCCTGGGCAAGGCCAGGAAATGTTTCTCCTCATCCCTGCACTTTTTCTCTTCTGTGTGAGCCTCACTCTGTGCCTCTCTGTGCCAGGCCTAGACTATGTCAGCCATGAAGACATCCTCCCCTACACCTCCACTGATCAAGTTCCCATCCAGCATGAGCTCTTTGAAAGATTTCTTCTGTATGACCAGACGAAAGGTAATCTCTCTCAACTAGGGAGGCAGGAATGGAAGGGCCCTTCCAGGAGGGTGTTGCAGAAGTAATCCTACAGCTGGATTTCCAGAACCTTTCTAGCCTCCCAATTAGCTCTCTGAGGTTGATGGCTGCTGTCTCCTTATAGCGATAGAAACTCAGACGTGGGAATGATGAACAGTGATTCAAGGTTGCTAGGTCGCAGTGGCTGGAGGTCTAAAAACCAGGGATGTTAATTTGTGGTCCATTTTCCTTCCCATGGGATCATACTGCCCCTCAAGGGTTATCCTTGTAGTGCTTTGTGCCTTCTTCCAGCCTTGCTTTTTTTGTTTGAGACAGAGTCGTGGTATGTAGTTTAGGCTGGCCTTTTACTCATGGCAGTCCTACTGCCTCAGCCTCCTGAGTGTTGGGATTAAAGGCATGCAGCAGTAGGCCAGGAGTAGCCTGGCTTTTGTTTTGTGTGTGTTCTATTCACCTGGGCCACCACTGTGGAGGGGTTTCTAGAAGAGGCAACTGGAGAATGGGTACAGCGTCCTGGGCCCTGGCCTGGACTGACCTGTTGGCTCTTGTTTCAGCACCCCCTTTCGTGGCTCGGGAAACACTCCGGGCCTGGCAAGAAAAGAATCACCCCTGGCTAGAGCTGTCTGATGTCCACCGGGAGACAACTGAGAACATTCGTGTCACTGTCATCCCTTTCTACATGGGCATGAGGGTATGTGTCCTGCCTGTGCCGCTTCCTGCTGGGTTTGGCCTGAGATTCTGGGTGATGCACCTAATATGAGTCCTGGGGTGGTGGAGCCTAAATCTAAACTGTACCCTGTGGTTCTGCTCCCAACTGCTCCTGCACTTGGCAGGGTTGAGTAGCCTATAGGTAGTGGCTCACATCAAGACCCACAGGTCCCAGGACGGAGTCCTCCATGCCCGCTCCTCTCTCTTTCCTTGGGCTCAGAGGGAGCCTTGCTTAGAAATGTATGCATACTTGTCTAAAACTGTGGGTTTATCTTTGTACTTCGTATATAGTAGCCACATAATTAATCACTCCTCTAAGCTAGGCCTGGGGGTACAAATATAAATGAACAACTATTCTACCCTTCCATGAGCTCATGGTTAAGAGAAGTCAAGATCCACAAACAGAGCCTTGTAGCGTGAGACGGGGGGAGGATGCAGGAGGCAGGGGCCTGGCAGCTGTGGTGGGTGCCGGCACTGGCAAGGAGAGCATGTGGTGTGAGTGAGAAAGGCAGGGGCCTGTAGTGGGTTTTGAGTGGCTTCCAGCTCTGTTGGTGGTCTTGACAGGATGAGGAGGATGGAGACCAGGAATGGACATGGGAGGTGCCACTCTGTGGGCTTGCCAATCATAGTTCTGTCACTGTCAAATTCACTGTCGTCCCACAGATGTGTGCAGCGTAGTCTGCCTTTGCAACCTTCCTGGAATGCTTGGACTTTGCTGAGACATGTCAGTTGGAACAGACTTGGTCTTGCCTTCTGGGACTTAAACTCTTTGTTTTTTTCCCCCAGGAAGCCCAGAATTCCCATGTCTACTGGGTGAGTGTCTTCCTGAGCACATGGGGGAGCTCAGGAGTGCCTCCGGTCGGTCGGGTGAGGAGGTAGAGCCTGTGTACCATAGTTGGCAGCCTTTGTTGCCTCTGCTCTACAGAATTCTAGATTGACTACCTCAAAGTCTGTTCTTTTGATGAATGTGAACTCTTCCCTTCCCTCACAGTGGCGCTACTGTATCCGCTTGGAGAACCTGGACAGTGATGTGGTACAGCTCCGGGAGCGGCACTGGAGGATATTTAGTCTCTCCGGCACCTTGGAGACAGTGCGAGGCCGAGGGGTGGTGGGCAGGGTGAGCATCACCAGGCCTGGCCCTGCCTGAGAATCCTTGGGGCTCTGTGTGTGTTTTCTTCCTGTCCTGTGGTTATAGACAGAGACTCACTGTGTAAACACACTAGGTTGTGTTGGGTTAAAAATCTTACAATAGCCCTGTGATGTAGATTGCCTGTAACATATTTCACAGAAGAAAGAGGCTGAGAAGCTACCTGATGAATCCACAGTCTCATTGCTAGTAGTGACAGGCTGAGATTTTGGTCTACATGAGTCCAAAGTCCAAGCTGTGTACTTTTTGTTGAGTAGTGTAATGTCTTCTAAAGACCTGAACTTGAATGCACTGAGGTGAGGCATACCTAGTTCCTCTGCCAGCCCCCAGCAACACCCATAACTGTCCTTGCCTCTTTTTTTTTACGGAACTGGGGATTGAACTCAGGCCCTTGCGCTTGCCAGGGAAGCGCATATTCCACTGAGCCATCTCCCCAGCCCCATATTTTTTTTTGTCCTTGTCTCTTTATACATGTATATCCTTTTGGGTTTTTTTGCGGAACCGGGGATTGAACTTGGGCCCTTGTGCTTGTCAGGGAAGCGCTTTTTCCACTGAGCTATCTCCCTGGCCCCCTTTGTTGGTTATTGATTTTTTTTTTTTTTTTTTTGGTGGCTGGCTCAGCCTACCCTGGGGGTGGGGCTGGTATAGCACATGGTGCCAGGATTGCACCATGGCCCCTAAGCTTAGATTGAATTTAGGCCTAAGCTTGCCTAAGCAGGTGCTTTAGAATGCTGAACTATCTTGCTGGCCCAGTTGATTGTCTTTTAAAGACAGGGTTTCACTATGCAGTTCAGATTGGCCTTAAGCTTACTTTGTAACCCAGACTGGCCTTGAACTTGAAACTATCCTCCTGCCTCAGCCTCCTGCATGCTTGGGAGTACAGGCCTGTGCTAGCATGCCAGGCTTCTTTTGCTGATTTTGAAGAGATGTGATTTTGTGTCCCTGCCTACCTTTCCCTATCGTCTGAGAAATACGATCACAAGAAGTACTAGTGTCGGCCCACATCCAACAAGCATTTATCCTGTTGCAGGGGCACAAAAAGTGAGTTAGGAGCAGAGCTTGCAGTTACAGTGTGGATTCAAATTCCAGCTGTATAATCAGTGCATAATTTTGGACAAATTACCAAAATCTGTTCCTTACTACTAAAAGAGATCATATATAAGTAAATTGTGATGACCAGGAGAACTGAGTTAGCAGCAGTTTGCAGGGTACCTATTGAAGTGCTTAGCTTTTAGCTGTCCAGAGGAGATGCTGAAAGGGCTGTTTTCACAGTAGATCTTGTGCCCAGCATCTTTCTTAGTGTCCTCAGTCAGTCAGCCAGTCTGAGATTACCTTCTCAGAGGTGGAGTAAAAGGCCAAGCCAGTAGCCCTGCTGTTGCAGGCGGTGCTGGCAGGTTGTCACTGCAGAATGCCTGCTGTGGTGATAGCTTGGTTGGCATGCATCCACTGATGATGGCCTGGCAGCATGTGGCTTCTGAGTGTGAGAAATGTGTCCCTAGAGCTTGGCCTAACCCATCTTGTTGAATCCTTACAGGAACCAGTGTTGTCCAAGGAGCAGCCTGCATTCCAGTATAGCAGCCATGTCTCCCTACAGGCCTCCAGTGGGCACATGTGGTGAGTGTGTGTGCGGGCAGCACCACTCAGCTTCCTAGATGGAGCTTTAGGTCAGAAAGTGAGTGCACAGTAAGCACCGAGCCAGTGGTCAGCTCCGCCAGATCATGTCCTGAGGTGGAGCCTTCTCTGCTGCTCATTGATGTGTGGAACTTGCCTGTTTTTTATGACTGCTTTTTCTTGGTTCCCTATGATGTGGACTGAGGACTGAGGTCTAGGGCAGTGATGGTGTATCTTTTCGAGTTTTCAGCGATAGAAATAGCCCACTGTAGCATGCCTACCATAGGTTGCTTCCACTGAGTTGCTTATGTAGCTTTTTCCCTGGGTGTTTCACACTTTACTGTGAGAGTGCAGTTGGACAGCTCATGCAGTGTGCATTGAAGAGCCAATATCTGGACAGCTGTGATTGTTTTTTTGTAGGGCCAAGAGGGGTTTGTGGGTCTCTTGTCAGTCATCCTGTTAGAAGAGAGCCTAGTGTACGTCATCCTGCTATGGCTGTGGAGCTGAGGGCATGCGTCCATTGAGGTCTTTAGTAGGACCTCAGTCCCTACTCCCTCTAAACCAGCTTCTCTCTGACCTGCAGGGGCACATTTCGCTTTGAGAGACCTGATGGCTCCCACTTTGATGTCCGGATCCCACCTTTCTCGTTGGAAAGCAATAAGGATGAGAAGACACCACCCTCAGGCCTTCACTGGTAGGCCAGCTGAGGCCTTGAGTGCCTAGGCTGGGCCCCTCAGGTCAGCTGTGAACCGACAATTGCTGCAAAACTTTTCTCCCTCCATTGTGGCCCAAATGGGTCACTTCATCCTTTGCACATTTGATTGCAGGGCTCTATTTTTTGGGGGGTTGTAGTTACCTATTTTCTTGAGAAGACCCACCTAGGACTCTTCAGGCTGGCTGGCTTCCTCATAAGCCCTGCCTTTTTCGTGTTCCCATAAACCTTTCCATCAAGGAACTGTTCAGCTGCCACAGGCCTGGAGGAGTTTCCTGACCTGTCACAAGTTGTCTGGAACATGAAGTTTGGTCAATAAACTAGTGCTCAGCATTTCTGCTCAGGATCTCAGGTTCCCTTTCTGACCTGGTAGGGGACTTGATTGCTTCTCATGCCATCAGGTCCAGGGAGCTGCCTTCTCTGCTAGGGCTGGCATCTTTTCCTGAGCCTGGAGACTGGCTGGACATCTCCCATAGGCAATGTGCTTCTTCCTAGCAAGTGGGTGCTGGACTGGACTTTTGATCTCTCTTTTGCCTCTGCCAAGTGCAGAGGCCAGTGTCAGGGCTGGAGTGGCTTTGCTGTTAGTACTGACCTAGTTGGGCTGGGAGAGGTGAGCCTGTTGGGTTTCCTGGCACACTGGGTTTGCTGTGTATATCCATGCCACAAGTGACCAAGACAAGTTACTTTGTATCTCCCCAGCCCCAAGAACTTCTTAGATCTCCAAGAGCCAGAGACAAATTAGGTAGTATTTTGCCCTACTTCCTGGGATTCCTTCTTTCCCACTACTGCAGTGATTGTTAAGAGGTAGGTTCATTGTTGAACTAACACTAAAATCACAATTCCAATTATTGTGTTTTCCTTAATTCTCCACTAGGGGGACCCTGGGTTATGGGGCAGCCCAATAGATTTTATGACCTAGTTAGCATAGGAAGTCACACGGGGAACAGAAGTAAAAGAACTGAGCCCACAGCTATCAGCTGGCCGAGTTCTATGTACCATTACACACATGTAAACATGGCTGTGTACCACTGCAGCATAACAGTTTTATTAGAAATTAGTGTGTGCTTCTATCACTTAGGTTAACAAAGGATTATAGTTAGTGATAAAAGAAAAACTGTCAGGATTTATGCCATTCTTCAGGCAGACCATGGTCACATATGAAATTCGTCAACAATTACTGCTTTGTCTTAACAGCAAGCTTTCAGTTTTCTCAACACCAATAAGAAAATTTGACCCTGCTCTTTCATTTTTCCCTTGCTTGGCTGAAGTGTGAAAATTCATACTGCCAAAAGGTGTTTTCTGAATGACGTTAACACATTCTACAAACCCTTAAGCCACAAAGAATGATTAAAAGAAGCTAAGATCATGTCAGTGGATTTAGTATTAGTGTTTTCCTTAAGATTAAGGAGCTAATAGTCAAAAAAGAAAAATGCCCAGGCCCAGACTATTGTGCTTTCAGGATCAAAACTAGGTATCACTGAGATGGCAGAGGATCTGAAAGTCAGAGCACTAATTAGCAGGTAGGGAACATAGAGGTTGAAGGACAAGCATGAAAATACCTCAGGGAGCTGGGAATTAAAGGGCTTCAAGAGGGCAGCTGAGAAAATAGTGCAGTGGCCTCAGGCTGAGGCATTCCAGTCTCTAGGAAAGCCACAAAGTCTAAGCCTGAATCTAAAAGAAATGGATTGTCACCTTACCTCCAGTGAGGGCTGGAAGACTAGTAGCTGGTTGCCGACACCTGGCCTGAGTGCTATTTATACATTCAAGATTGTGACTAACAAAAAATGCCCGATTAGTAAGTCACATTTGCCTTGCCCTATCTTGTCATTTCAGGTCCTTGAGTGGCCACCTGGGCCTGGTATTTGCCCAGAGGCTTTGGGCTGTGCCATGAGCAACCACTTAGCAGTCTTAGTAGTGCTTGAGGGATGAGCCTGGCAACTGTTCTTTCATGAAAGTGGGACTGGTCATGGCCACAGTGCTTTGTTAGGCTGGTAGAACGGCTCCCTCCCAGACAGCATTCTTCTGGAAAGAATTCAGATAAGCTTCCTGGCAAGGACCAAACCTGACAAGGGGATAAAAACCAAAGTCCTGAAGGGGAACTCGCCCTGGCTGGTACACAGGGAATCCTAATGGCTAAAAGACCTAGCAATTGGGAAGAAAGGTCTTCAAGGGGCTTAGGTTGTTATGGTTACTTTGCCCAGAGACTCACCACTGGGCACAGCCACCTTCCCTAGCCAGGATACAAACCAATAACGTATGTCTGTGAGGGCAGGTGATACAATGGCCCAGCTTTGGCCACCTCTGCACAGGGGCAGCTGGGAACACAGGCCAGCACTGTGCAGTGTCCTTAAGTTTTGTGGCCCTCCTGGTGCTTACTTTCAGGCCCATGTGCCAGCCTCTGCCTTTATGATCCATATGCCTTCTAGGACCAGAATGAAGAACAATCCTGTCAGTCCCTCTAAGCTGTGGGGGGTGAGGAGTCTTTTCTCACAGGATGCTATGTTAACACCACAGATTCCAGCTGTAGCATCCTTCCTTCCTTGGTGCTCTTAGGGCTGGCTGGCCAGGCCAGCAAAGCCACACTGGCTGCTTTTGAGGATTGTTTTACTGGTTCCTCTTTAGCTCTCCTCTTTCAGGCTGATTCTACAAGAGGGGATTAGGGTCATAAAAATACATTGGTCAGGGCAAGTGACAAACTTCCTGAATATCAGTACAAAGTGCTTTAAAGACAGATCCCAAAGGCATCAAGAAGGCCTGAAGGTCTGGCTTACACAGGGCCCTTGCACTCTACAGGGGTGGCAGAAACGTCCAGGCCCTTTATTAGGTTTAAAACTATTAATTTCCTAGGTTATTAAAAAAGTCATCAAACCTGTGCTTAGACACCTTAGGAAAAAAGAAGCCCCCTTCTGCTAAAGTTTGGGCTTCCACAGCACCAAAAGCCACCTTCCCCCAGAAGAAAGCTTCCTGTGGGCCTCAACTGAGAAAGGGGGCACTCTGCAATGGAGCTAAGGGAATGTTCCTGGCAGGAGGTGGGAGGTCAGTCCATTCACTCCAGAACAGAAGCAGCTCCTTGTGCAGAAAGGGAGATACATGTGGAAGTGCTTGGGGCCAGGACAAGGGAACATGGCCCCTCTGTGCTGCCTGGGCCCTTTGACCTCCCAGGCAAGGTCTGTCATGCCTTTGAGTGCTGGAGGAAGACACCCAGACAGCAGCAGTGGGGGGTGGCAGATGGGGTGAGGCTCCACAGGATGGGAGACAGGGCCTCCTGTGCCCAGACTCCCTTATGGTAATATCAGTCACGGTGGGCAGACTGGTGGCCAAGTTGCCGGTCGTCGTAAGTGCTATAGCGCTTGACGTGGATGCGGCGCACTCGGTCCCGCAGTTCAAAGGTCTCCTCATCTTCACTGGGGGAAGCCTGGCTCCGGCTCCGGCTTGTGGCTTCTAACAAAGAATTGTCAGGAACTCGAGGGGTCTCATAGAGTAAGACGTTGAGTGTCTCCTCGTAGATTCGGGCCTCTGGGAATTCCACCTAGGGCCAGAGGGATGAGATCAAGTGGGTTTTATCTCAGTAAGGGAGTGGAATGTCAGGGCTCTTGGTCCTGTGTTCATGCATGAGGCTGCTGAACTCTCATGAGGGTGACAGGTGGTCATCTCATGAGTGGTGAATGGCCTTCTGAAGGGGTGAGATTATGAGCATGAGAGTATGGAAGATGAACCCCAGCCCCACATCTCACCCCCATCCAGGACAGAAAGACAAAGAATCTATAGACAGTGGGCCAAGATCTGAGCACCTCCACTGACTGGGAGGAGACTTGGGGCCAAGGTTTCCTGTGTGTCAGGTAATGGTTAACAGCAGTCTCAAAAAGCCTGATGCACAGTAAGCAACCAAGTATCTCCAAAGCAGCTGGTGGTTGGGTGTGGTGGCACACACTTATAATCCCTGCTGTTTGGAAGACGGAGGCGGGAATTTGTAGTTCAACGCCAGCTGGGTAGCTACTCTCATCATTATTTTTTATGTATTTATCTCTGCAGTACTGTGGATAGAGTCCAGGGCATCCTCAGTGAACTGCAGCCCCATTTTAGGTTTTACTTTTTTTTTTTTTTTTTTTTGGCAGAACCGGCACTTATTCTACTGAGCCATCTCCCCACCCTCTAGGTTTTACTTTGCACCTGGCTATTTTACTACTTTTTATTGCTTACCTCACCCAGTGGGAGAAAGAATAAGGGAATGGTGATCAAGACTTCAGGGTTCTACTAACAAACTGGCTGCACCACATGGAGCTTCTGTGCCCTCATCTGTCAGACAAGAAGGGCTCTGGCCTGCCTGTCTTGCGAGGTGAGGGAGCACATACAAAGGAGAATACTTAGAAATCTGACAGGTGATGCTGTCATGCCCAGCTCACCTGGCCCTGAGTCCTGACTCCACTGGGCTCAGGTGGTTAGGAGCCTACGCGGACTCTCTCCCCCTCGGTCCATCCCTGATTCCACTGCCAAAGCTTGTACAGGGGGCCGGGGAGATAGCTCAGTAGAATAAGCATTTGCCTGGCAAGCGTGGGGTCCTGAGTTCAATCCCCAGTACCGCAAAAAAAAAAAAAAAAAAAAAAATGCACAGGGAAGTACAGTGCCGTCCTGTAAGCTGTCCTTCCCCAGCCTCCACTGACTCCTACCCAGCTGGAGGTACTGCAGCAATCTGGGGCCAACAAGGTGCTACCCGGGCCTTGCAGCTTTGAGCCGTTCACACCCACTTGGCCTCCCCATATGGTCTAAGGCTTCACTCCAGGCCCTCATCTGTCAGGAAAGATAGCTCCTTTGGGTAGGATACGTGCTTACTTGCTGGCAGGAAGGGGCTGTGTTTCTGGAACGTAATGCCTTCCACATGCCTGATTCTGGGACGTGACTGCAGAGGTGAAGGTGACTGACCAGGTCTGGAACAGCATTCTAACTTCAAAGCTCCAGTGATTTCCCCTACACCACAATGCTTTTCTTTTTGGCCATCTCAGCCCATCCTGAGGGCAGGCAGGGCTGATGTGGTATGTGGTGCCAGGGATCGAACTGCGGTCCTCTGCACCTGCCTAAACTTGCCTAAGCAGGCACTTTAGACCACTGAGCTATCTCACTGGCCCAACACTGTTTTTCAAAGAGCTGTCTCATATCCAAATCTCTGGTAAATTCATGCTGTCATTCCAGTGTTTGCAAACAAGAAACTGAGGCTAGCACCCAAAATATGGTTGAGAAAGAGAACATTCGTGGTCTGTTTGTGATCTGGTGAGGGGCTCAGCTGGGTAGTGCGGTCCCATCCTGAGCACCACTGCCCTGGTGGTGGAGTTCTGCCTCTGAGCAGAACAAGGCCACATACCTTGGTCTGCTTCTTCTCCGTGGCGTACACGATGGAGGTGCAGCACACCTCTGCCAGCTTACGGCCCTGGCCATAGAAGGACCAGCAGCAGATTTCATCACCAATGACATCCTTGATGAAGAGCACGCGGCCGTTGAAGCGCAGGGAAAGCTTATCAAATAGCTCGATGTTTTTCAGCAAGTGGTCATCAGAGTTGCTGAAAAACCCACAAGAGCCAGCAGGCCTGGGAATGAGGTTCTGGCACAAGGGGGAGCTGCTGAGGCAAGCGGGCGCTCCTCTCCCCACTGTGCCCATCATACTGACATGAAGGCAAGTCAGGAGGTGGGGGGCAGGAAGATACAGGGTCATGGGGCACCCTCAGAATTTTGAGTGAATGTGAGGAAAAGGGATTGAGTTGGTTCTAAGGTGTATTAGAAATGAGGAAAGGAGATGCCCACTTAAACTGGAGGAAGGGGTTATACTGCCGCTTCAGAAGGTGGCATTTTTTTTGTTTTGGGGCTGCCACTGGCAATGTGCCTGTCTATGGGGAGTCCTGGGGAGAGTGTAGGACTTTGGGCCTCCAACAACTTGTGTATATGCAAGTGTGACTACAAGGAGAACTGGGCCATGGGGAAGTTAGTTCAGCAGGAAGTGCAAAGACTACAGAAGGTTAGGGGCACTCCCAGCCCACTGGCTTCCCGACACCCTCCTCTGTTTGGTAAGATGAAGATGAGGACATTCAGGATGCTCCTGATGAGACATACGTTAAGGGTGCAGTACCTGTCCCACTGCTGATAGCAACCAAGGCGCTGGGCCAAGTTCTAATACCTCTGTCCAGTCCCCTTCTACTCTTTTTTCCCCTTAGCATGAGCGAGTCTAACACATAGACCTGTGCTGTCCATGCCAGGAGTGCGAGCAGCTTCCCTTGGGTCTGTTGCCAGTATCCACTCCAGCTGCTTAGCCATTTAGCTATGCTTGTAGCCCCTCTGCAGAGATACCCGCCTTACCTGGTATAGGAATACTTGTTGTTGCTTCTGTTGTACAGCAGCTTCACCACGGGCTGTGAAGGAGGAGAGAGTAAGTACCAGGCCTGAGGTCTGGCATCCCTGGGCTGCAGTCCTCTGAGCTCCTGGTACCTTGGTAGAGGATTCAATGAGCCTGTCCTCCTCCCTCAGGGACGTGATGATGGGGATGTTGCACACAGGCTGGTAGGAGTCTTTCTTGTCCTAGGTGATACACAGAGCAGAGAGCTTAGCCAGGTACCCACAGAGCCACTCTGCCTTAGCTACCCCTGCTTGGTAAGGAGAGATCAGAGAGAGATCACGAGGTGCCTGGTAACAGATATTGTCAGTTGGCAAGCAGACCCTCCTTTCCAGAAGACCCAAAGTCTAGGTGTCCAGGAACATGACCCAGAAGAAGCAGGGCCTGCTCACACTGCTGAGCATGACACCTGGCTGCCGGGCCATGGTCACATCTCACTGTTCTAATGGCGAAGATTAAAACATGGGGTGGGGCTCCCCAGGATGGGAGCCTCACTGCCTCCCGCACAGCCTACAGGAAAGGACCTTTCTGTCCCCAGAAGAGGGGCAGCTCCTGCCACATGTGGTCACCCCACCTCTGCCCCGTACCTGCAAGGCAGCCTGGCACATGTTCACCAGCCCCTGAATGAGGTAATATTTTGCTTCAGCCATCAGTTCCTTGATTTCTTGCCGGTTTTGAGGGAGGGTAATGGTGTCATCTCGGAGGTAATTCAGAATGGTGCCGAAGTGCTTTCCACATCGGTCTATGAGGATCCAGCCTGGAACCAGGGATTCAGATGGGCCCCACACAATTACTGTTTGCCTGCAGGCAAAGGCCACCTAAGGAGGTAGGTGGCAGGTAGCATGAAACATGCAACCCAGGGTCCAGGGTGCCAGGACATCATGGACCTTTTTGCTCTTGGGCCCACAGCTGTCTTTCATCCTTTTTCTCTGAACCTAAGAGCTGTGTGCCGGGGAGACACAGGCCAGACAGGCTCTGCACAGGCCCACAGAGGTCTGACTCAGGAGCACAAGACCACAGGCCCTGTTTGCCTCCTTCCCATTGCTCAGGCTCAAGTGACAGTTCTGAGACTCGAGTCCCGTGGTGGCAAACCTATGGCACGCACACCATAGTGGCCTGTTTGTATCATTTAAAGCTCTAAAAAGTTTGCTATCAATGCAAGTCTAGTCCTATTTTAATATTCAAAAAATATGAAGTTAGACATAGTGGCACATGCCTATAATTCCAACACTAGGAGGCGGAGGCAGAAGGATTTCAAGTTCAAGCCCAAAGACTGGGGGTACAGCTGAGTGTAAAGGCCCTAGTTTCAATCCTCTGTGCCATGGCAAGAAACAAACTACAATGACAACAAAAAAGCCCTGTGGCTCTTCTGTCTGGAAAAATGGCTAAGCATACAACATTCTATGTGTAATTCAAAGAATTCTGAAGCTCTACTAAAGACACTACTAGAACAAGCGCTTGCCTGTCAAGCGCAAGGGCCTGAGTTCAATCCCTGGTTCTGCCAAAAAAAAAAAAAAAGACTACTAGGTGAAGAAGTTTTATATTCTGCAAAGGGGAAACGTGAATCTGAACTCCTGATCTACAGGCCTAAGCCCTGTCCTGAAGTCATCTCCCCGGGGCCCCTCTTCGTTCCCCACCCTGCCCTCCAAGCTCACCTTCTTTGTCAGTCAGCACCTCCATGCGCCCGCTGAACATGGCCTTCAGCATGGTGTCGTGCCGCGTGAGTGCCCGCACCGTGGTGTAGTACAGGGAGCCACCCACATTGAGCTGCACATACTTGTTGCCCAGTCCTCCTCCCTTGAAGCTGCTTAGCTTGGGCTTAGCCCCTGAGGCAGGGCACAAACACGTGTCCCCAGACATCTCCCGCTGCAGGTAGATCACCACACGACAGGAGGTGGGCTTGGAAGGCTCCACTGTGGTGGAAGTGGTCACAAGTGAGGCCAGCGCGGAGGCCAGAGCCTCATACTCTCAACACTGGGAGCAAGCAGAAAAACATAAGTCACCAGAACAGGGACCTCAAGGGATAGGATGATAACAATAGGAACTCTGACTGTATTCTGTCCTTGATGAGCCCAAGCACTCCCCACAGAGGGTATGTCCCCAGGCACCAAAAAGATTTTGCAGCTGCTGCTCATTGTATCAGGAGCACATGCAGCAGAAACACCATCTCCCAGGGTAGCAGATCACCAGCTTGAGACTCAGCTCAGTTCTGGGTGGTGGAAAACATAGCCAAGTCCTCCAACTGGCCAGAGAGGGGCTGGGGAGCAGATCACTGTAGAGACCTACCAGCCAGACTCCAGATACTTTCTTTTCCCTGGACCGGGATCCCAGACCTCCAGTCCACCCTACTGGGAGTTCACTCTGCCTAGGAGTCTCCCAGGAGCCTGAGGGACAGGATGCACTTCCTTTCTCAAGATTCCAGATCCAGCAGCAGCCTGGCCAGTGCTTACTTTAGCAACAGGGGAGGGAGCTTGGCTTCAGGAAGGAAAAAAGTATAGCCAGCACCCTTGGCAGAGGTTACCTGCTCTTTTCCTGGCTTTCCTGGCCTTTCCCTTTTTTGGCACCAGCCTTACCCCCAAGTTCCTGAAATCATCACCAGTTTTCAAGGCAGAACAACTACAGAATGGCTATTTTTGCCTCTTTTTCCTGAGAGGGAGCCCAGCCCTATCTCTTCCTCTCTTCCCTCCTAATAAGAATAGGGAGAAAGGACCAGAAAGACTAGATGATAAATATAAAAATGTTTAAGTGATATGGAATTGTGTGTGTGTGTGTGTGTGTGTGTGTGTGTGTGTGTGTGTGTGTATAATGGGGATTAAATCCAGGGTCTTTGTACTGACCTACATTCCCAGCCCTTAAAAAAACTTAAAAAAATTTGAGACAAGGTATGCCAAGTCACTAAGTTGCCCAGAATGGGCTTGAATTTGTGATCCTCTTGCCTCAGCCCTACAGAGCGATGAGATTACAAATGAATGCCACCATGCCCGGCACAGCATCTAAAATGTTAACAGTAATTCACAGCTCTTCCCTAAGTGGCCTGAGGAAACACATAAAGATGGTTTGTTGCTCGAGACCTAGAAAATCCCACAAAATCATGCAAATCAAAGAGGGTCAAATCTTCATGTTCACTTTAAGAACATCTGTGTGACTGCCCAGGCTATCAAGAGTATGCACATCCGAAAAGTCACCAAGTGTCTGAAGGATATCACTTTATTTTTATTATTTTTTAATGTCAAGTTTATTTATTTAATTTTTAAAATATATTTGGTTGTTACAAGATATCACTGTGAAACTCAGACTCGTGGTGATCTTCCTGCTTTCAGCCTCCCCAACACTGGGATTACAGGTGTGTGACTCTATGACCTTCTAGGCTGGCTTGGCGTGCTGTAGGGGCAGGGCTGGCACAGCATATGGTGCGGGGATCAAACCGGGGATCTAAGCTTGCCTAAACAGGCACTTTAGTCTGCTGAGCTATTTCACTGGCCCAGGACATTAAAGAAGCAGCATGTGCCACTCCAGGCTTAGTGGTAGAGCTGATGGGGGTACCCAGTCCAAACAATGAGGCCAGACACAGGGTGAGTGGCCCAGAAAGAGTGCTGAATTTTTGGGGCATGTGCTTAAAAATGCAGAGAGAGTTCAATCCCCGGTTCCGAAAAAAAAAAAAAAAATGCAGAGAGAAATGCTGAACTTGGGAGTCTAGACATAGATTCTCAGTCACTGAACATACCCGGTGAACAAGGCACCAAAGATGCGCTCATGGTTAGAATAGCGAGCTCCCCCTGCCACGCTGAGATGATCCTGACTGAAAAAGAACAGGCTGGAGGGCCAGGGAGATGGCTCAGTAGAATAAGCGCTTGCCTGATAAGCGCAAGGGCCTGAGTTCAATGCCTGGTTCTGCCAAAAAAACCCCAAAAACAAAACAAAACAAAACCCACACAGGCTGTTCCTAAACCAGAGGAGGTAGTTGCACAGAACAAAAAGTCCGGAAGAAACTGACAAAACCAAAAACTTATATCACAGAAATAAATTAAGCATAGATAAATGTAAATAAAAGTTAAAAAAATAAGTTCACAGAACCAACAGGTAAAGTGAGTGAGCCCTGGCCCCCACCCCAATTTACATCTTAGCTACATCCTACCTCTTAGGATTTATGTTCTAGGTCTCAAATCTGTGGGTTCAACCAACAGTGGGTTTGCAAACATTCAAAAAAAGCCAGGATGTGGTGTATGCCTGTAATCCTTGCTGAGAAAGGAAGAGCACTGGAATTTGCTATCTAGAGAGGTTCTTGAAGCAATACTTGAAGACAAATGTAGATTTGGGCTATCTTAAGAATCACAAAAACTAAGAAAACAATACAATAGCTACCGTTCTACAGCTACCTATAAGCCAGGTATAAATCTAAGCATTTAGCATATGCCTTATCTCATTTAAACTCATTTGGCAATAAAACTATGGTGAGGGCAGGGGAGATGCTCAGTGGAATAAGCGCTCGCCTGGCAAGTGCAAGGGCCTGAGTTCAATCCCCGGTTCTGAAAAA